CTCCAGTGCCACAGTTTCACAGTAGTCTTAAGGCTACTCATTGCATTAGTGCCTGCACAGCTGTTTCAGTGCTGACTTAATTTTGAAGCTTGAGCCTATCTCAGTGCTTGTTTCTTTGTTGGCCCTAGAGGTCTGCTCAGGTCTAATTTTTAGGTCTGACCTGTACCCAAGCCCATCCACTCTGAGCCTGAGAGGGTTGAATCATTTTCTGACTCAGCTCTTCTGCCTGAACCTGAGTCACTGCCACCACCTCCTGCCCTGAGGTCGGCTCTCCTCCGCTTGTGCTCAAATAAATTTGTTAGTCTCTAAAGTGCCACAAGTACTCCTCGTTCTTTTTGCTGATACAGACTAACACGGCTACCACTCTGAAACCTGAAAGGGTCCTGTTGTTTTCCCGCCTGACCTGGACCCAACACTTCAGATTAACTTTTACTGTGTGTGGGAATCAAAATAACCTAGGTCTTTTCCTTGTGCTAGCTTTCAGGGTTTCACAATGAAAAACGTTGCATAGACTGCAACATCTCTTGCATCAAATCTAATTCAGGGTTTGTTGCTTTTCGTATTTGAAGTGGGCTTGATTGTCTCACACGCAGGTTAATGAGGTTAATGTTAGGTGCGAGTATTTTGTAGCTTTCTCTAAACAGGTTAGGAATTAATATTCTAGAAGTAATAAAGAATAGTTAAAAGTTACGGTAGCCTATGTTAAGCAAAAACCTGCTTTGTTTTTAATAATGGTGTGGTATTAAGTTTACAGCAAGTTATCAAATGGCTTTAGGCGGTATTGCATTGTTGTTGTTCCTGTCTTTTTTTTCTTTACTCAGCTTTGTTCTCCTGTACCACACAGGCTAGTTTCAAACCAGTGCTGCGACTTCACTTGCAACTCTGCTTCTCTGTTGCACAGGGTAACTCCTGGCATTTCAGAAAGGAAGTGTTCATTAAGATTGACTTGCATTAGTGGTGCACTTCAGTAATAGCACAGAACACATCTCTGGCAGTTCACACAGCATGTACAGATGTGGCTGTAGGTTATGGTACAGCACTATAATTTTGTGAGTGTTCAGTGGATTCAAGGTATAGACCTTGCTGGTTGTTAGTTGCAAAATAGATTTGGTAATGAACATTTATTTTATAACTTTAAACAAGCCTTGATGTCCATTTAATGTTAGGGAGTTAGAGTGGAGAGTTCTAGTACCGATTTATCTGAATTTTAATAGAATTTTGGGATCCAAAACCACTGCTTTATTTTAAAGTTTTAAAATTTGATTCCGCATTGTTGGATAAGAGATGAATACTTAAAAAACAGCTATAAGGAGTTAGATCTGCAAAAAGCCAATCTGTATTTTCATTGGGGAAAAAAGTGTCTTTTTAATCCTTGTCAAGCTAGCTTTTATTGGATCCTAGTGAAGACAAGCCAGTTATAGTTTACATGTTTGCTTGGCTCACCCGCAGGGTTACTTTAACTAGCTAACAAGTGTTAAAATTGCAATTTTAACATGGGTTAATTAACATATGCCATGCAACATGGGCAAAAATGTGTGTTTTTTGTAAATGGAGAGAAGACCTTACAATATGACATTTATGGGGCTGCACCTTAGCCAGTTGCCCAATACTGTAATAGTATCTCTTCCTTTGCATGTTTTGGAGCATCTCCAAAACTCCACCTGCCAAACCCTCCTCCAAAATACATGTTTCTTAATTGTTTTACCCTTGAGTAATTGCAGTTTGTCATTCTAGTTAGGCAATCCATAAAGCCTGATGGGTAAATTGGAGATGCATAATCAGTTTTTGTATGAGTAAAATTCTACTTTGTTCCTAGTTTAAACATTTCCTGACATTCCTAATAGCCCCGCTACCTAGGAGATTGGGTATCTTGCTGTTGCAATAGAAGCTGCGTAATCTCCACATTAAGATTGCTGCTGTGTGATCCCAAATTCCCCATTCCCACAGTCTTGATTATTTCTTCTTTAATTTGCCTTCTTCACTGGAAAACTCTCTAGTGTTACCTGTACAGTCATTTCCTATGCAGGTCTCTGAAGTTGCCTCTTGTTTTCTTCTGGCTGGATTGTTATGATGAGTAAGTTATCTCCTGCAGTCTTTGAGCACTTCACAGTGGTGTTGAGGCTAAACCCATTAATGCTTGTAAAGTGCTTTGCACTTCTATTGCATATATCTAATGTGCTCTCAAAGTCCAAATGATGTTAACCAACGGTTGTGTGATGATTTGACTTTCTGCAAAGAGGAAAAATAACAATATGCAAAACGTTTGGGTACACTTCTTAATATTAATATAGAGGCACCATCAATTGAATCTGCTCTGTCTGGTTCTTGCTAAATCTTAGTATCCTCATCTGCCTCTGCCCTTCATTGTATTTTCTGATCTTTTCACAGTGATCCAAAACCAGATTGCATTCTTGAAGTGTCAGGGTAGGCTCTACATGGCCACCTACCTCTTTATGTTCTTATCACCTACTTTCATTTGTCTCCTGTTGGCTTCCACTTCCATCACCATCATTTATTTTATATCTTACAATGGTGCTGCATTTTGTGCATAGATCTTTCATTTCTACCGTGAAAGGGTCAGCAGTTGCCCATGTTCATGTACTGTTTCTGCCAGTTGTGTGACTAGCTTACACTTGATGCAGTTTGGGAGTCATTTTTGACTTCATACTGGAATGTGAAAGTGGCTCAGCCTCTACATTGGACTCCTCTTCTTCTGTCAGAAAATCAGCATTCTTTTGTTGAATTCTTAGCTTGACTTTGGTACAAGCTCCATACTGTGTCAGAACATACTGTATATAGAGTTTTCTATTCTCCATGACAGTATGTCTCTTCCACTACACTTTAACTACCAGCACCCTATCGGTAATATATACATCATTTCATTATGGCAAATCAGTGGATTTTTACTATAGTAGACATAATAAAAGATGACTTACGTATTTTACTGAAACCCACAGCCAGTTTTCTTTGGAGAAGGGCCAAGTCTTGAAAAGTTTACCTGACTGCTTTCTAGCCTAAAGAAAGTGGAGCTTGTCTATGGTGCGGCAGCTGTGCTTTTGTAGTACCATAGTGTAGAAACTTGCTACGATGGAAGGAATTTTTCCATCACTGTAGTTAATCCACCCTCTAGAAAGATGGATGGATGGATCTTTAACTTTGAGTAATTTCTTTGGTGGGAAAAGATGTTTCACTGCTATCTGCTGGGGTTTTTTGCATTTTTTTAATGTTTACATTTTTTGTTTGATTATGGACAATTCCCGCTGAAGAAGGGATGTTTTTAGTTGGGTAGAAATCGTGTATGTCACTTATTTTTGGCTCTGTTAAGATGTCTTGCGATCTCTCTTGTCTGCTTTTTTCCTCATGGATCAATGTGGTTAATAGCAATTTCAGGATAGTATGGTACTTAGAAGTATTCTTTCTACTAACCCTTTATACTGTTATTGAAAACTGTAAAGGAAGAGTGTTGAAAGAGGTAAAAGCATTTAGTTTCTTTTTAAATATTTTTGATTTCTGATAAAAGCTTCTGAAAATATCTATAACACTTTTCATTTTTTATTGAGAGAGAGAGATCTCAATATTTGCACATTTTTTAACTGAAAACACAAAACCTAAAATTGCCCAGACACTTTGGTGATGGATGCTTTAGAATTCATGTGTTAATCATTTTGCTAAAGGTATGAGAGAACCAGTCATAGTATCTTGCTGTTTCTTATTCTAATAGCTACTTAAAAAAATTCAGTAATACAATAGAGAGAAAAAGTGTTTTATGAATTACAGCAATAGTGAGGGCAGTAATGTTTCCAGGGATACTGTACATTGGGTTTTGGAAAACTAGAAATATTTAGTTTAGAAGCATTATAAAGAATTATTGATAAGTACAGAATTTTAATATTTTATGCTCATCAGGTCCAGTGTTAAGTCTTTGCTAGGTGAACTGGTGAGTTAGCATTCAGCATGTGTGCATTTTTAAGGTACGGTAATTCCTCACTTAATGTTGTAGTTATGTTGCTGAAAAATGCGACTTTAAGTGAAACGATGTTAAGCTAATCCAATTTCCCCATAAGAATGAATGTAAATGGGGGGGTTAGGTTCCAGGGAAATTGTTTTTTTGCCATACAGTATAGTACTATAGTTGGGAGGTGCCCCCGCCCTACCCCACACAGGCACAGCCCACTGGCACTGGAGACAATGTGGCAGGCAAGGAAGCTGAAGGTGCTGTAGGCTAGGAGAAGCACGTTGTGCCGCAGCAGCGGCAGCTTCCCCTACTCTGCAAGCACCAGGGGCGAGGGGCTCAACCCTCAGCCGGCCCACTCCACCCCTTCCCCCAAGCCCCCACCCTTAACCCGCCTCTTCTCCCCCCCCCACCCTTACTCCGCACGCTGCATCCTTGCTCCTTCCCCCGCCCTCCTGCCCGTGGCAATCAGCTGGCTTGCGACATTCAGGGGGCAGGAGGGAGTGGGGAGGAGCGCGGACTCGGCGCCAGCCTCCCCCCTCTCTCTCCTGCCTTCTGCCTGCGGCAATCAGGTGGTTTGTGGCGTTCAGGAGACAGGGGAGGGAGGGAGAGCCTGTGTGCTGAGTCCTGCCTCCTGAACACCGCAAGCCAGCTGATTGCCGCAGGCAGGAGGCGGGGGGGGGGGGCAAAAGGGGGAAGGCACTGATCCACTGGGTCTGTCGGCGGGCGGGAAGCACTGTAGGAGGGGCGTAGGGGAGCTGATAGGGGGGCTGCCAGCTGTGGACAAAGCAAGCAGACAAACGACGTTATGGCGAAGCATTGCAGAACTTTAAATGGAGCATGTTCTGTAATTGAGCAGGGACGTAAGATCGAAACAACGTTAAGCGGGGAGTTACTGTACATGTGTTCCATGAGCATCAATAAAGCACTGCTATGTTTGTGTGAACTGGGTTTGACTTTCTTTAGGTGAGTAGTGGAATCTTATTTTTGGTTCATTTTTACACTTCCCACAACAATCAAATGTGGTGTGATGCTTTGTCTCTTTCAGAAAGATGAAGGTAGTGATGGTAGTTTGAGTGATAGCCACATATCCCCTCCAGCCAAACGTACCTTGAAACATGCTGATCCTGTGTGCAAAGACAAATCAAAATCACGCAATACTGGGCAGCGAGAGGAATGGAGCATTTCAGCTGGACAGTCCAGGTAATCTGGGGCACTTTTCTTATAGTCTACATTGTCTGTCTTCTGGAATGAGAACTATGTGAATCCCATGGGTTGTGTTCCTCCTTATGTGACACCACTTTATCTGTTAAAATGGGAATGGTGGAATGTGTTAGGGTCCAATTTTATGTTGTTTGTGCATCCAGAACTCTGTGACTTCATTAGGACTTCTATGTGCTCAAGGAATAAGCAGCTGACCCTAAATTTAAATTAGGAAATGTGTGTGTTCATCCTCTTGTATACAAGATGGTCCAGCCTTCTCCTTTTCAATGATGTTTTCAGCCCCTCCATTGTTAGACAACTCATGGCTGACTCAGGAGTTTAGTATATTAGAAGCAGGCCAAAGTACTATGCATTCCATGTAACCAAAACTGAAGGAGACATTAGTTTCATTTTCTGACCGATTGATTTAATTTTAAGAAAAAGTTTCCAGGTTTAAAGAGGTTCAATTGGATACAAGTAATTATGCGAATATATGGACACCAAGCAAAAGCCTCAAGCTGTTGTGCCTGGGACAGCTTGTTTGAACACTGATCTTGGCCCTTGTAACTGCTACTGCATATTGTATAGGACTAGACAGTCTTTGTTTCATATTGTTTTAAACTCAGTAAATGAGAGACAAAGTCATCCTTGTTACTGTTAGCATATGGGAACTACAATAGCTAATTATAAGGCAACACTCCCTAAGGTGGGACACATTTAGATACCAAATTGATTCAAATTGATGTGGTTAAGACAGGGATTATTTAAACTGAGAACTGTATGACTACAGCTTATTATATACCGTGTTTCCCTGAAAGTAAGACATCCCCCGAAAATAAGACCTACTTCCAGTTTTGCCTCTCGCTGTAATATAAGGCATCCCCCCGAAAATAAGACCTCCCTGATAATAAGGCCACCCCGGAATATAAGGCCTCGAAGCTCCAGGAAAAATAAGACCTCCCCTGAAAATAAGACCTAGCGCATCTTTGGGAGCAAAAATTAATATAAGACACTGTCTTATTTTCGGGGAAACAGGGTAGCATGCTTCCTTCAGAAATCATCTTGGAGCATATACAGCCACCTCTGATATGCTGGGTCATTTAACAGTCTACACCAGCACTACACAACAGTTTAGCTGTTAGACAAGATGTAAAGAACACGGTGGATTGATTTAAGTCAAAGCAATTTAAATCACCGATTTTAATCATGATTTAAAGCAGCAAACTGGAAACCTTGTTTAAAATCATTGATTTTAATCATGCTTTGCTTTTGAACTTTTTAATTATTTCCCTAAAGAAAGGTTGATTCTCATTTGTTGATAACCAATAAGATACGTTGAATTGCAACTACATATAGCCTTTATGCTAAATTTAGTGCTTCTTTTTGCTAATCAGAGGGATACACTATATCGACACACATTTATTTAAATAATTACGTAGCTAACTTGAATTTATTCATATTCTTAGCTCTTACATTTTTATTATGTTAGAAAATGGTGAATTTCTTATTAGATTTTTTTTACTTGTGATTTGTCAAGCTCTCTTTGGATGGAAATTCAAATGCAATTAAAATGCACATTTAAAAAATTTTTTTTTAATAAACTTCCTTTAATGTGTTGGATACACAAAAAGAAGTATCAAAGTTTATCAAAACCTATTTTACATTAAAAAAGGAAGTGTTATCTATAGTTAGTGAATTGAACTGGTAGTTTCTGTCATCTGTCCTTCAAGATTTTAGAACTAGTGTAGCTCTCATCCTTTCAGACCTCGTCTTTTATTGATAGATTGTAAGGGGAAAGCAAGCTTTCCTGCTTTTTCAATTCCCAATTGGTCTCTTAACTTTGAATGAACTAGTCATTGAACTGAATAAAGTGAAATGAAAAAAATCTTCTCCCTGCACCTGCAGAAGAGGCTACTGCTGTCAGAAACATTTATCACTTCAGAAAACTCCAGTTCCAGATGCTTATTCTGTGACTTCCACCAGTCCAGTGGTTTGACTTTCTTTAAAATGGGCAGCAAACATGTACTGCTTAATATTTTTTTTTATTATTTAATGTAAACAATTATAATAGATTATAAGAGTTTAGGCCTACACATAGGTTGTCAATTTCAAATTTAACTTTAAATAAAATATAGGTTTATTTTTAAAAAAATACGTTAATTTAAATAAAATCTGAGTTTTTTTTTTTTTTTTTTTTTTTAATTGATCCTGGAAGAATATCACTTAGGTGAACTCAATTTGCCTGAACTGAAATTTGGCCAGGACATTGGAGCTAACATCATTGCTCCTTTAAGAAGTGCTATGATGTGTCTGATGACTGGATCTTGGTCTGTTACAGAAAGTAGATAACTGAGATTAAAATAAAATTTTAGCAATGGGCTACTTGAACAAGCCCAGAAGAGCCATGCATAATAACCTGTGTGGAGATTCTGCTTTTTGGTATTAAGCAACAAATATATGTGACCATAAAGCCATTACTAATGTTTGTTTGTCAAAAATGCCTGAGAGGATCATGATTTGCAGATGCAATTCTCCTATGTGTTCTGATCCATCACTGTGACAAGGTTGTGAGGTCTACCATGGTGAGTCTCTTGTTTTATGAAAAATTGGTATGCCTTTCCCAGGTAAATAATAGCAGAAGCCCATGTCCTAGTTAAATCCATCTCTTCAGAAGTAGAAATTTTTGCAAGAGTGAAGGGGCAGTGGAGCCTGGGTCAAATGATTTCCGATTTTTCCTTTTTCAACTGGTTAATTTATTCACTTTCCAACCTAAAATCAGTTATCCCCCCTGCCTTCCACTGTGCACAATAGTTATTGCAGTTCAGTGGTCCTTTATACACATTGTAAAGCACTTAAGATCCTTCAGGATGACAGGCGGTATATGAATATAAATTCTTAATTTGACTAATCTATCTTGATTTTAGATGTACTGGTACCAACAGGATATTTTCAGCTAATATTCTATCATGATTTTAGGGCATTTTTACATTTTAATTCTAACAGTATAACTTATGTTTTAATAAGTTAGTCTTAACAGATAAGAAATACACCTCTACCCCGATATAACGCTGTCCTTCGAAGCCAAAAAATCTTACCGCGTTATAGGTGAAACCGCGTTATATCGAACTTGCTTTGATCCGCTGGAGTGCGCAGCCCCCCTCCCCCCCGAGCACTGCTTTACCGCGTTATATCCGAATTCGTGTTATATCGGGTCGTGTTATATCGGGGTAGAGGTGTACAATCTTTTACTCGAATGTAAAAATCAAGACTGAATATATGGTACAATAATTTGTTAAACCATGTAATTTATGGAAGAGGTTTGGATCATGTTTTGGCTCTCATACCAACCCAGTGGGAGTTAGTTTTCCTAAAGGAAAGTTAACTTTAAAAAAAGAAACACAGAATACTTATGATTGAGGTGTTAAGTAATATTTTTACTGTTGATTTAAGTAATCTTGATTTGTCAGTCTCTTTCCCTTCAGTTATTAGATTTGTTAAATAGATTTAATTTTTTTGTTTTTATAACTTTGCCCTGCACATTTGTATTGCTTAGTTTTCATTGGTTTCAGTTATCTACCCAAACATTAAGAGCTTAAATGGTGTTTGCTTCTGACTAGCAGCAGCAAGAGTACTGTTTCTGGAACCTGTGTGGGGCTTCTTTAACAGGAGGGGACATAAGTGAAATGGTGTAGCCTATTAGTGGAACAGATATTGATATATCTTTTTCAGTATGGTGATACTAGTTAAAATTGTTTATTAGTATAAAAATAAAATATTAGTATAATGTTAAGAACACAAGGATGGGTCAGACTAATGGTCCATCTAGGCCAGTATCCTGTCTTCTGACAGTGGCCAATGCCAACTTCAGTTCCAACTTCAGATGCAAGCCAAATTCTTGAGAGCATATTTTACAAATGCTTTAAATTATGCTCAATGTATAACACGTAAGGATTTCTATTTAAAAAGTGTTGGTTGCATTGTAGCTTTTAGGTAGTAAATGAAATGTTGATATATTTTGCATATTTAATATAATTGTTTTCCAGGTTAACGTCTCAGGCTGGTGCTACATTACCAACTGGACGTAGCTTATGTGAGTGTTTTCCCTTTGGTTATTTTATATCTATATTTAATCTTAACTACTTTTATATTGATGATTTTCAAATGTATATATTTTGACACCTTCATTGGTGTGTTTCTCCCTGTGTTTACAAGAAACTGTTTTCTCTCTGATTCTGTCAGATAATTTATTGGATGCTTCCTTTGGGCACGAGTAAGGTTAAGATTCTGTCACGAGTATTTTTAGTAAAAGTCAGGGACGGGTCGCAGGCACTAAACAAAAATTCACAGAAGCCTGCGACTAGAGCCCTGCATGGATACAAAATTTGTATCTGCATCCGATCGGCCAGGGATATAAAGTGGATAGCTGCAGATTTGCGGGGCTCCAGATATAAAATTTGCATCTGCATCCAATCCACAGATATCAACAGGTTAGCAGGGCTCTACCTGCAACCTGTCCCTGACTTTTAGTAAAAAATACCATGGAAGGGGGACGGGGATAGGAACAAACAGAGTACTGCCAGGACTGCTGGAGCTTGCAGCTGCTCCAGCCCCACCGCTGCTCCTCCGGGAGGGGCTGACTGCTGCTGCTCCACCCCCAGCTGCTGCTGTGGCGGTGGGGAACCACTGCTTCAGTGGGCCTGGGGCTGGCTGCCAGTTAGCTGTTCTGGGGCAGCCCCGGGGCTGACAGCTGCTCCAGCCCTGCCTAGAAGAAGTCATGGAGGTCCCGAAAAGTCACTGAATCCATGACCTCTGTGACATAACTGTATTCTTAGGCACAAGGAGCATCCTCAAACATAATTCCATCTCTCTTCCCAATTCAGAATTCCCATTTGGTGTCTCCTGGCCATAATCTTGTCTACACTCGCAGCAACGTGTAGATTACGTACAGCTACACACTGCAGTGAAAGGCAGGCTACATCCACACTCACTGCGATGTGTAGCTACATGTGGCAGTGGAAGGCTCTGGCAGTGGGAGGCACTGGGAAAAGGCTGCGGCAGTGGGGAACTGCTAGAGCCTTTTCTCGTTGCCTCCTCCCTGCCAGTCTCTTATCCCATGTTGGAGCCTTTCACTGCAGCAGGGAAAGGCTTTGACAGCAGGACACCACACTGCTAAAAATAGCAGCATAGATATGGAAGACACTACTTGGGCATGTAGAGAGCCGTATAGGGTATATACCCTAAGGGTCAGGTGGGTCTCTACTCTACTTGCCTAAGCAGTGCCTCAGTGTCTACACTGGTATTTCTACCTAGCTAGCTGGGTGTGCAGTGTACCCTATGTGCAGTTACAAGTGTAGACCTGCCATTGATTCCAAATTTTACTTTCATGGACTTGTTTTGGCCTATTTCTCGCAAGTAATATCTTTAATTTATCCAGTCCCTTTGCTTACCTAATACCTGGCCTTTTCTGGCTCAGCATGCTGTTTCACGACTGTTTTTGAGACCTGCTATGTCTGCAGCTCCTGCCACCTAGAACAGTGTTCCTGTGAATCTTCACCTTAGCAGTTTGCCAGTTCATTTAAAATCTCAACTGAAAACGTATCCAGTTTTCATGTCTATACTTCTTAATTTCTGTCTCCTTTCAGTTATGTATTGAGTCTGAGAGTATATTCAATTCCATTAAATATTTTGATAATTATTTATTAATTTTATTATTGTAGTGCCTAAAGAACCAACTAAAAATGGGGCTCCATAGTCTAGGCACTGGACAAAGTAGCATACATAGATTTCTATGCAAAATAAAATTGTATTGTATCAGTAAAATAAAACCTTTTGATACTGTACTTAAAGGAAAGAGTAAGAACTGAAACTGCAAAGGGTGACTGACAGTCTTAATGTTAACTTTAAAATACTGAATATTTGGTGTTCAAATACAAACTTACCACAGAATGATATATATTTATGTACAAGTAAATAGCCCAAATGGCACAGAAGTACAGTTAGTAAAGTAACATTGGTAGGGACTTAAAACAGATAACTCTTATTACAGTAAATGTCAGGATGCACATTCAGGGGGAACTGACTCTGTTTCTTAATATCGTTTGGTTTCTTATCCTTGCTAAGTAATCTGATTATTGAATTCTTGTTTGTAAAAATGTTGTTTCCTGCATTTTGAAGTAGTAATACAAATTTCTCTTAGCTCTCAAAAGCCATCCCCTTCGAGGGGAAAAAAAGGGAGATGGGGACCATGGTTGCATAAACGGAGATATAGAAGTGAGAAAAAGTTGTCGGTCCAGGAAAAACAGATTTGAAACTTTGAATCAGAGTTTATTGTTTGATCAGCTAGTGAACAGGTATGTGTGGATACTTCAGTTGCACACGTCACAAAGCATCTTGATGGGGTTTTTTTAAAACAGTTAGAACTGCAATACAGGGCTTTCTATCTAAATGTCATTTAAATAAGTGAACAACAGTAACAACAATGGTTGGAAGTTAAGTACATCTTGCTTGTATGTCTGAATTATAAAACGTCAACAAGTTTGTAGCTGTTTCTTTACCACTTGTTGTTAATGAGATACTGCATACAGGATTGGTGTCACTTTTTGACTTTACAGTGCAGATAAAGTTGATCAGAGAGGAAGGCACAGTCTGTTGATCTCAACACAGGAGTGGGAGCCAGGAATTCCTTGCTTTGAAAGTGGTTTCCTCTGTGGCCTTGGGCAAGTCACTTAACCTCCCTGTCTCAGTTTTCTCTTCTGTAAAATGGGTATAATATGTACCTTTGAGAGATACTGAGTATCAGTGTTTGCAAAAAGTTTTAAACGTGAAAAATGTTCTGTAACTGCTAAGTATGATCTTTATTACTGATAAAAAATGTATTCTGCTGAACTTTAGTTTTTCACAGAAACTGCTTTTTTCAATGTGATCAGTAATCACTTGGTATCAGTTTATAAGTTTCTCTTGAGTTACTTTTTCCCTGGTTGAATTTGAAGCCCTTTTTTATTCAACTCCTCTTCCTCCTCAATATAGTAATAGGAAAGCAATCTACTATAAAGATGGTAATGTGATAAGATTGTGATACTGACGCCTGCATTTGTGTTTACATTGAGCCAAAGTGTCCAAAATTATGAACAATGACTTGAATGTATCTAGATCAGTTAGGTTGTACATCAGAAATACTTCATAGTATTGATTATAAATTCAAAGGGAAAAAACGCTTTTGGGTGACATTCTCTCCCTATTAATGTTAAGGGCAAAACCTCCATCATTTTTTCTTTTGTATATTAACAGTTCCATTCAGTATAATAGAAATTGTATAAGGCTTTTTGCAACTTAAATAGAGAGAAACTTAGTATTTACATAAGTGTACAATTATAAATTGATCTATGGAAGTCCCTAAAGCTGTATTGACAAGACTTGCCACTAATCACTTTCTTCAGTTTTGTGGTATCACTCACATATTGTGTTTGATGCTTTTCTACTCTTTGTTTCTATCTTCTGTTTTGTCAATTGGTAGTGGTGGTTCAAGTCTCTTATTATCTCATTTAGGTCCAAACTTCTGTTTTTCTTATGTTTAAATGTGTAACCTGTTTGTTAGTTGTCCTGTCAAAACCGTGCATGATATTAAGCTTTTGTCCCCTTTCCTCCTCTGTTTTCCTTATTTTAACATCTTGATTTTTAGTTTAATTTTGACTCTTGTTGAAGGGGTTTCTCCCTTCCTGTGTATGTATGTGTATATATATGTATGTGTGTGTGTGTGTGTGTGTGTGTGTGTATGGTGGTCACACTACACACTATCAGGTTTGGTGGAAGGGAATGACCATCTTCCAACAAATTCCCAAAAGTTTCACCAGACTTCTAAATAGTTTTCCTTACCTCCATTGATTTCAGGATTTCACACTTTTTGGATTTACCTTTAAAGTGCTGACTGGAAATGTTTGAAAGTTGATAAGTTTCCAACTGTTATGCAGCTTTAGTACATTTCCAGTGGACAGGTATCCACAGTACACAAACCTTCACCATGGTTAGCAATAATTTGACAGTCATGATAAATAAGTAGATGATTGATTGGGCCTGGCTGATGACTTGCCATCTCCTTCCCGAGACGTGGTCCGTCCTGCTCAGTAGCACCATCAGTTTAACAACACTTTAAAGACGTTTAAGGTAGAAGTCCTTCTCTGGAAGAGCTTGCAGTCTAATTATACAATGATTAAGTTAAGTGATGCAACAGAAGCAAATTAATGAGCAGTGGAGTTCTATATATGTCTCTTTCATTTCACATATTTGGTTATTTTAAAAAAATTCCTTTATTTGTTAGCCCTTGCCTCGGAGAAATGCTGACATTTTATGGAGCTTACAGGAATGAGGTACATTTACAGGAGTGCAGTGTTGCTACCTGTGCTACACCGGTTATGTGGATGAAAAGCTTCAGTCTCACAGGCTGTGAGTCTGGTACTTTTCACAAGTATACCATTCAGACTCACCAGATTTAAAAATTAACCCCCACAACTGACAGAGAACACACACTTTAAATTAAAATTGGTATTAGAGTTTGATTCAAAGCCCATAAAATAATCATTTTTTCTCTTATGCAGACACTTTGTATACTTTTACCCTCTTCTTTCAATTTTCTTTATTACGGCTGACTATTTTTAGTTTAATTGATGGATTCAAGGAGTTGCAGGAGAGACTGAAATCAAATTTTAGTTAATCTGTAGATTTTATTCCATATATAATTCTGGGAATGATTGCAAAGAAATTATAATTTTAGTGTAGTGCGTTATATAGAATTATTTACGTGTGTAAAAGTTCTGCAGCTCTTCTATTTTAAGTCTGAATATTTGTCTCTTTTATGTTAAATATTGTGCATATTTAGTACTGCTGAAGCTGTACTACAAGAAATGGACAATATTAACATCAGGCGGAATAGGAGGTCTGGAGAAGTAGAACGGCTGCGAATGTGGACAGACACAGAATTTGTAAGTTCAGAATCTTTCAAATTTTGGATAAAAGTAACATCCAGTGGCTATATGTATATTTTTATAACTCTCCATATGTCAGTTGCCTACAGTATGTTAAAATTCTAAATCATTTTTTCAACTCCTAGCTAATGCTCACTGTTATAAATAAACAGTGATGCTAGGTGTATTTAATTTTAGAAAGATATTAATATGTCATCCTGTTTGGTTAATGGGGAATTGACTGGCACATTCTCATATTGTGCTAATATTGTTAAATTGGAGAGGAAACATGGTTTAGTGGTCTGAAAACAGGATTGGGCACCATGATGGCCTGAGTTCTAAACACAGGCTTTGACACTGACACAATCTGTGGCCCCGGGAGAGTCATTCCTCAATCCTCCTCGTTTCGTAAACTGAGAATACTTACCCTACCTCTCAGGGTTATTTGTTGGTAAAGCACATGGAAGATGGAAAACACTACTTAGGTATTACCATTACTATTTGGGCTAACAGTGCAGGTTACGAGGAATAGTATCAATTAATGAGCAAATTCATTTTGTTCTAGGAAAACATGGACATGTATTCTCGAGTGAAGAGAAGGCGGAAATCACTGAGAAGAAATAGCTATGGAATTCAGAACCATCACGAAGTGTCCACTGAAGGGGAAGAAGAAGGTATGGATTGTACAGATTAACTATAGGGCTTCATTTGAAACACTAATGAAACATACTGTTTAGAAGAAATGACTCCTTAAAATAGCTAGTGTATTGATACAAATACTGTACAGTACTACTGTACTGTAATAGAGAGAATTAGTAATAATTTGCTTTTGCTTAATAGAAAATGAACTGGGTCATTGGAAATACGCAATATAGAAATTCTGCTCTTCAGCAAAGATTTATGGTGTCCGCAGGTTTCAGTGTACTGCTGAAAAGGATCTGAGAGTTATAGTGGATCACAAATTGAACTAAAGCTTTTGTTTAAAAGAAAAAAAGTTTGTTAAATTGGCGTTACAAATATGGAACAATTTAAACCAGATTTCCTGTATCTTAGAACTGAAACAGTTGCTCTGGGTAGTGTAAACCACAGTAGGGTGTAAATTTTGAAACTCAGTGGAGGCAATTTAAATAATATTAACTGTTTATAGTAGTGATTATTTTAGAAGAAACATCCAGCTGATATCTTTAGCCTATGTGTTTAGGTTTCTTTCAAAGAGCTTTTAATAGGAATTAGGCTGCAAATTTTAAAGTTGTAATTACTTTAGTATTTTATCAAATATTTGATTTCTTTTGGTTATCATGGGAATTTTGGGAGAATGAAAAGAAGAGCAAAGGTATTCTAGGTTTTTGGAAATCATAGAATTGTACCGTTAGAAGGGATCTAGAGAGGTCATCAAGACCAATCTCCTGTGCTGAGGCAAGACCAAGTAAACCTAGACCAGAGGTAGGCGACCAATGGCACACGTGCCAAAGGCGGCACGCAAGCTGATTTTCAGTGGCGCTCACACTGCCTGGGTCCTGGCCACCTGTCTGGGGGGCTCTGCATTTTAATTTAATTTTAAATGAAGCTTCTTAAACATTTTAAAAACCTTATTTACTTTACATACAACAATAGTTTAGTTATATATTATAGACTTATAGAAAGAGACCTTCTAAAAACATTAAAATATATTACTGGCATGCGAAACCTTAAATTAACGTGAATAAATGAAGACTCGGCACACCACTTCTGAAAGGTTGCCAACCCCTGACCTAGACCATCCCTGACAAGTGTTTGTCCAGAGTGTTCTTAAAAACCTCCAATGATGGGGATTTCACAACCTGTCTTGGAAGGCTATTCCAGAGCGTAACTACCCTCATAGTTAGAAAGATTTTCCTAATATCTATTCTAAATTTTCCTTGCTTTAGATTAAGGGTACGTCCAGACTACCCGCCATATTGGTGGGTAGCGATCGATTTATCGGGGATCGATATATCACGTCTCGTTAAGATGTGATATATCGATCCCCGAATGCGCGCCCCGTCGACTCCGGAACTCCACCGGAGCGAGCGGCGGTAGCGGAGTCGACGGGGGAGCCGCGGCTGTCAATCCCGCGCCGTGCGGACGGGAGGTAAGTCAGAATAAGATATGTCGACTTCAGCTAGGGTATTCCCATAGCTGAAGTTGTGTATCTTACATCAACATCCCCCCTAGTGTAGACCAGGCCTATGCCTCTTACTTTGTGTTCTACTTCAGTGAACATGGAGAACAATTGATCACTGTCCTCTTTATAATAGTCAACATATTTGAAGACTGTTATTAGGTCCCCGCTCAGTCTTCTTTTCTCAAGACTCAACATACCCAGTTTTCTTAACCTTTCCTTTTAGATCAAGTTTTCTAAACCTTTTATCATTTTATCTGCTGTCCTCTGGACACTCCAGTTTGTTGACATCTTTCCTAAGTGTTGTGCCCAGCATTGAACATTGTACTGCAGGTGAAGTCTCACCAATGCTGCATCGAGCAGGACAGTTACTTCCTGCATCTTACATTTGATACTCTTGTTAATACACCCCAGAGTATTAGCCTTTTTTGCAACTGCATCACTTGGTTGACTCATATTCATAGTTTTTGACCCACTATAACTCTCAGATCCATTTCAGCAGTTGGCACGGAGTCACAGTTTCAGTAATCTGAATGAAGCCAGTCAGGACTATAGTGTAATGTATCTCCCCTCAGGGCACACACTAACCAGGGCAAGAGGCCTCCCCGGCTTCAGTGTTTCCTGGGTTTGACCTCGGAGCAGTCAGCACCCCTGTTCACACAGTGAGCTTCCCACAGTGAGTCTACCTGGATGGGACACCCGGGGAAGCCTTACAAACCCCCAAAGGGCCATGTACCCCAACTTTGCAGTCAGCAGTGACTCTCTGCCAGTGTTGTAAAACAGAAGGGTTTATTAGTCGTCAGGAACACCGCGTAGAACAGATCTTGTTAACACAGAAAACAGGAAGTTACAGCAAAGTCCATCTTGAGGGGCTCCAGAGCCCTGGGCTCTTTTCCTGACTCCCAGACCAGCAGATGGACTCCTTCCAGCAGCCCAGCCTCACTCATGCTCAGCCTCATTCATGCCCAGCAGCCCCACCTCCATACTTTGTCTCTTTCCCAAGCAAACAGGTCACCTGGTCTCTTTGTTCTCCAACGCCTTTGGCTGGCTCCTTGCAGAAGATGGGCTCTGGCCATCAGTTGTGATGATACAGAGTGTCTGCCATTCTTTGTGCCCAGGCAGACAGTCAGTAGTCTAGGGGTCACTGCTATGATCACACACTCTTATCCTTTCACCTAGATACTTGAATAATACATTGGGAAAACTGAAGCCCACACACAGTATTCAGAGAAAACATTAAGAACATTCTCACTTCATCACAGCAGTACTACTACCTAGCCATTTTGTAGCTGTGCATTTTATTTTTCCTTTCTAAAGCAAGTATGTTGCATTTATCTTTATTGAATTTCCTCTTGCTGAATTCAGACTAATTCTCCAATTTGTCAAGTTTGTTTTGAATTCTAATCCTGTCGTCTAAAGTGCTTGGCACCCCTCCCAGCTTACTGTTAACTGCATATTTTACAAGTGTACTCTCTGCTCCATTATCCAAGTAACTAATGAAAATATTGAATACTACCAGACCTAGTTCTGATCTCTGGGGGACCCCATTTCATATGCCCTCCCAGTGAACCATTGATAACTCCTCTTTGACTATGGTCTTTCAACTAGCTGTGCACCCACTGTATAGTAATTTCATGTAGACCACTTTTCCATAGTTTGCTTATGAGAATGTCATATAGGACCGTGAAAAGCCTTACTGAAATCAAGATATATCACATCTTCTGCTTCCCCCCATCCATTGGGCCACTAACCCGGTCAAAGAAGGAAATTGTGTTGATTTGGCATGATTTGTTCTTGACGAATCCATGCTGGCTATTCCTTATAACCCTATCATCCTATAGGTGCTTACAAACTGATTGTTTAAAAAATTGTTCGAATATCTCTCCAGGTATGAAAGTTAGGCTGACTGGTCTATAAATCCCCAGATCCTCTTTGTTCCACTTTTAAAAGATAGATACTATGTTTGCCAGTCTGCTGGGGCCTCACCTGTCTTCATGAGTTCTTGAAGATAATTCTTAATGGTTCTAAGATTGTTTCATCTAGTGCCTTAAGTATCCTAGGATGAATTTCATCAGGCCCTGCCGATTTGAATACATTTAATTTATCTAAATATTCTTTAAACTGTTCATTTCCTGTTTTGGCTTGCATTCCCTCCCCATTTTTTTAATATTAATTGTGCTGAGTATCTACTCCTCATTAATCCTTTTAGTGAACACTTCAGCTTTCTTGATGTATAATCAGTTATTAGCTCTTTTTCTTCGCTACTCTTTCCTTCACTATTCTCTTGTTCCTAACATATTTTAAAAAAACCTAGTCTTATCTTCTTTGTCCCTTGCAAGGTGTAACTCATGTTGTGTCTTAGCCTTTCTGATTTTGTTCAGACATGCTTGTGCTGTTCTTTTGTGCTCCATCCTAGCAATTTGTCCATGTTTTCACGTCTTTTAGCATTCCTTTTTGATTTGCATGTCATTTAAGAGCTCCTGATGGAGCCATATTGGCAACTTACTATTCTTCCTATCTTTCTTTTGCATTGGGATGATTTGCAGTTGTGCCCGTAATGTTGTCTCCTTGAGAAACTGCCAGGTCTCCTGACCTCCCTTTTCCCTTAGATTTTCGTCTCATGGAACCTTACTTATTAATTCTCTGAGTTTGTTAAAATCTGCTTTTTTGATTTTTACTGTCCTAATTCTACTGCGTTCACTCTTCCCTTTCTCCTTAGAATAATGAAATCATCATTTCATGATTACTTTCACCAAAATTGCCTTCCACCTTCAGATTCGCAATGAATTTCTCCCTGTTGGTCAGAATCAAGTCAAAAATAGTTGCCCCTCTGGTTACCTCATCCATTTTCTGAAACAAAAAGTTATTCCTTATACATGCCAAGAACTTATTGGACATTTTGTGTTTTGCTGTATTATTTTTCAAACAGATTCTGAGTACTTAAAGTCCCCCATTACTTCTGGGTCTTGTGTTTTGGATGTTTCTGTTATTCTTCATCCACCTTCTCTTTTTGATTTGATGTCTACTGTAGACCCCCTTCCATGATATCATGCATATTTTTTCACCTTTTGTCTTTACCCAGAGACTTTCAACTGGTCTGTGTCTCAGCCTCCTTCTTGACCTCAGAACAAGTGTATATATTCTTTCAACACCTCCTCCCTTTTTCTCTGCCTTGTCTTCCTACCTATACCCCTCTATACCAATATTCAAGTCATGAGATTTATCCCACCAAGTCACTATGCTGCTAGTTAAGTCATAATTTAGCCTATGTATTTATATTTCCAGTTCTTCCTGTTTATTGCCCATACCCTTTGCATTTGTGTGTTGACATCTGAGATATTGAGCAGATTCCCATGCTGATTATTCTCTTGTTGCTCCTGAGATCCTACTGTAATTTTCCATGCCCCCCTCTCATAAGGTTCCCCCCAAACCTCTAGCCTTCTGTTAGTTGCCTTTTTTATGCTTACCTGTGGGCTTTTGTCACCCGTCTCCTTTGAACCTAGTTTAAAACTCTTCTCACTTATTTATTTAGCGTGTACATAGTCGTCTAGCCAAGCAATGGCATCTTCAGTGGCTTGATGCAGTTCTTCTAGGCCACCACTGAACCTAGTCAGCAGGCATTCATCGACAATGTGCGTCATCATCTGTGTTGTGCTGCAGCTGCACAAAGGGCCGTCACGAAGGCCCCAGCGATACTGGTTAGCTGCACAGAGACCTTGCCCAGTCCGGAACCTGTTCAACAGGGACCATTGGCGACGGGGCAGGTCAAAACCAGGCGGGCAAATTGTGGGGTTGGTGATGAGGAACTGGTTGCGGATTATAACAGATACCCATTCCTCTCGCCAGAGTGTTTCCACCCTAACATCCTGGCGTGGCAGATGAGACCATAATGGGCGACATGACGGCAAACATGCAGCTGGTGTTGGAGGAGGAGGGATAGCTCAGTGGTTTGAGCATTGGCCTGCTAAACCCAGGGTTGTGAGTTCAGTCCTTGAGGGAGCCACTTAGGCATCTGGGGCAAAATCAGTACTTGGTCCTGCTAGTGAAGGCAGGGGGCTGGACTCGATGACCTTTCGTGGTCCCTTCCAGTTCTAGGAGATAGGATATCTCCATATATTCTATTATTAGTACATTATTATTAAAAAGGTTATTGTGCAGCGGCAGGCTTGAGTTGGCGCATACTTTCTCCAGTAACTTGCCAGTGGCAACCTCTCATCTTATATGAGGAGGCGCAATATTGCTCAGAACTGGAAGCCATGGGAGTGGAGTCAGACACAGGGTGCCGGAGATGATACGCATGGCGGCATGTAATTGCGTATTCACCAGTTTGGTGTGTGATGATCGACTCTAAACTGGTGTGCAAGAGCTGATGTCCGCAGAGTTGGAGCATGAGCACCCCATGACGAACCTGCCAGTTTGCTAAGAAGATTGTTGCGCATCTTAACTTTTAGCTACTGTCTTCTTCAGGTGGACATGATAATTCAGTGCGCAGTCTAAGGTCACACCTAGATAGACCGGTTCTACTTCATGCTTCACTTTTTGACCATTCTGATAAACATTCAGTTCACGGGTTGCACTGGTGTGATGAAGATGGAACAAACTAGAAACTGTTTTTATGACGCTTGGCTGGAGGCGCCAAGTCTTACAGTAGTCAGCTAACTTTACCATGTCCTGGTTTAAGGTGGCATCAAACTCGTGGAATGTCTGGACCTGGGTACTACAACAGATGTTATCTGCGTAAATGAACTTTCATGATTCCGTTATTGGCAGGTCATTGATGTAAAGGTTGAACAGGGTTGGAGAAAGCACAGAGCTCTGGGGGGTAATCCATTGCTCTCTCATCTCCAAGCACTTGTCTTCTCCCCCATATGGACTCTGAACTGCCTATCGCAGAGGAACAGTTCAACGACTCCTGTGACCAAAGGTAGCAGGACTCATGATACCTTCACGAGCAGGCCAGTGTGCCATACCATATCATATGCTGCTGTTAGATCGATGAAAACAGCGCCTGTTTTCAAGTTTCTCTGGAAGCCATTTTCAACAAATGTGGTCAGTGCGAGTACTTGGTCGCATGTGCTATGGCCTTGGCAAAAGCCATCTTGGTCAGGGCTCAAAATTCTCTCCATGTCGGGTAATATGAGTTGTAGGTAGGTGGGTGATTTGGCACTTGAAGATGCTCTTCCTCTTCTTGGTAGGTGGACCCCATCTCCTCCCAGCAGTCCTTCCTGGAATAGCATTCATGGTTGAGAAAGCTTCCTGGTTGCACAGATGGTGTCAATATGCATTAATCTCCAGGATGCATATCCCCCTGTCTGGGACCTTATCCTCAGCCATGAGGATGGACAAGAACACAAACTTCACCCTTGCCCCCAGAGCCCTGTAGTCACTGCTGATCTGCTCAAGGTCATACCTGGTAGTATCATTAGTGCCCACGTGGATGAGTGACATGGGATAGTGGTCAAAGTTAATCAATAGCAGTAAGACAGAAGTGATCCAGAAATACCATCTGGCTAACTCCCTTTGCATCACCAGCCATCTGTCTTACCAGCCACTTGGAGCTTGCATGCTTGTTAAAGCCTGGGCCTTACACGCAGCTATAATGGGTGACTCAGCCCATCACACTCGGCTGTCTGTAATCACTGGCTTGTTCACAAAAAACTGTACTGCTCTCTCTTCAAAGAGCCCTGCTAGAAAGCAGGTGCTGACTCACCTACCTGCAGGGCAACCTTGTTCAGACAGTCAGCAACCAAGCCTAGATTTCAAAACACAGCATCCAACCCAGAGTCCTACCACGCTCGTCAGCAAGTTCCCAGCACAGAAAGTGCTTCTCTTTTGTCCCCTTCGCTCACCATAGTTAATCAGTAGCAGTAAGACAGAAGTGCCCCACAATTTGTGGGCCACAAATTGCTGGGCCACAAATGCTCACCAGCTGGCTAACTTCTTTAGTCTCCCAGCTGCCTTCATTTTACCAGCCACATATCTCAAGTAGGCAAGTGATTATTATTATTAAAGTGAAAAACAAAACCACCCCCCAACTGGGTAAAATAAACTAATTTTATGTAAAACCACTTTGTAAATATATAGAAATCTACTACATTTATTATTGTTATATCCTGCTGATTTTCCAAAAAAATCCTATAGAAGCCAGTAGGGAATTTGGCAAAACATCCTGCGGATTTCCAATGGCCCCAATGGTGATTAGTTTGTTCTAATTAGTGAAGAAAATGATCCTTATGCATTTAGAATTTATTTTGTGGATTTATTTTTGGGGAAAGGGTGAAAGGGGCAAGGTTGCTGTGAAATAAAGTAATAGAACTGTTCAAAATGTTTTTTGCTTTTTCTTTCTAGAATCTCAAGAGGAAGATGGAGATATAGAAGTAGAAGAGGCAGAAGGAGAAGAAAATGATCGACCTTATAATCTAAGGCAAAGAAAAACTGTGGAAAGGTACCAGGCACCTCCAATAGGTAAGGAATCAGGGCCATAGATGACCTTTCTACTCATATTAGCTGGACTTGCTCTTCGATAGAGCTCAAAGATACCATAGATTTTTCCCTGTTAAGTATTGTAACTGTTTTGCTCTGGTTTCTCTGGGTTACTGAATAAACATTCAGATTGTTAAAGCATGCAATTGGACATGAGGAAAGTAAAGTTTTTATTCCAAGGCCTGCCACAGACTTGTTAAGTGACTTGCCAAAGGTCACACACTTCTGCTCTATTGTGTTGCCTTGGTCGGAACAATGGACAAGGGGACAGAAGTTGGATAATTGCTCTTCATCCCTAAGGGAGCTTCTATGCAGAGTTCCACAGGGTTGCATCGTGCTTCCCCTTTTGTTCAACATGTATACGAGGCATCTGAGAAGGTTAATGAGAGAGAGACTCTGGTATATTCAGTGTGGCGGTGGTGGTGGTATCAATTCTATAACTATCTAATCTGACCTACCTAGTGCTGTTGCATGCCTGGCTCAGAGTCCGGTGTAGATGAGGACATAGATAAGAGCTAACTGGTTAAAGCTCAATCTAGATAAGGAGAAGGTGATCCTGGTAGGTTGGGGGAATCAGAATGGAAGATATGGTGATGGTTAAGTTTGTTCCTCTTAGTGAGATTGCGTGCCCACCATTCATAACTACTGTGTGTAACTGGATGCTGTTAGTTTATCACAAGCAGCATTTTCCAGTCTTCGTCTAGATAAGAGATTGCAACTATTTCTTTTGGATATAGACCTTGCTGCTGTTCATTCATATAGCACTTCAAAATTAAACTACCACAGTGCACTGCACATAAGATTACACCTTAAAACAACATGGAAACTGAAGCTGTTGCAGAATGTGGTGGCATGAATTCTGCCTATTTGAAAAACCACTTCTCTATCTCTGCTATATTGTGACAGCTGCAATCAGCTGAGGAGTTTGAAAAGAGATGGAACTGGTAATGGAGGCCCCTCGTGGAGACCACTCTATCTTTTTCATTCTTTCCCTTGATCTGAAATAATCCAAATCTTCTGACAGTGAGGGTATGCTGCAAAGCCCATTTCTTCATATGGCTTTTGGAGCGAGAGGGTCACAATAAAAGATGAGGATTGTGAGGAAGAGGGATATAGATGAGCTTATTTTCATTATGGTCTTATTTTCTGGGTTTTGGGTGAGGTATTTCTAATTTTCGGCAAAGTCACCTAGAGCTCAGGATAGGCACTTTTTTGTTTAGATTTGTTATAAATGAAAATAAGTGTGGTTTTTTTTAGTAGATTGTCATGTGGTTACCCTTTTTTGTATTTGATGTTTCAAGACTGTGACCTTTTTTTCTCAGTGCCGGCTCATCAAAAAAAGAGGGAAAATGCACTGTTTGATATTCACAGATCTCCTGCAAGAAGAAGCCATATCAGGTAAATGTCACAAGCTTTTTGGAGGTAGAAGATATTTGTGTTCCTTCAGCACATTTTGTTAGCTGTTCATTTTGAAACTTTCTGTCTCTGGGTGATACTTCTGATTCTTTGGGTTTAATAAGCAAGGCTTTCATCCTGCCGTGAGCTTCATGTAGGTGGACTCCTGTGTTCATCCAAAACTTATGTAAGATAGAAAAGCTCATTTCAGGTTTGGGGCCTAAGTCTTTTTTTTTTTTTTTTTTTAAAGCTCTTCTGTTTGTAACCTGTTGTTTCTTGTATTATCTGAAAATAATTGAAGACCAATTTAGCTGAATTTTCCTATAATTAATAAAAAAAGAAATCAGTATAATAGCATCAGGGTGTTATAAATAAAATGATTGCTGAATACCTTCATGGGAAGATGGTTAGTTAATCTGAATAACAGTATGAAGCAGTCTAGTGTGAAATAAAACTTTTAATTGCAGAAGTATATAGGAACGTTAGGAATTACTAGACTAGAACAGACCCAAGGTCCTGCTAGTCCTGTATCCTGTCTATTGACAGTAGCCCAGCATCAGCTGCTTCAGAGGAAGGTGTAAGAATATTGCAGTAGGTGGGTTTGGGATAACCTGACCTCAACATAGGTCTCATCCTGTTCTTAAGCCCTGAAGCACAAGGTTTAATATCCCTTCCAAAATTGTTATTAATTGTAACAAATCTAGATATTCTTGATAGCCTTATAAATATCCAATCCCATATTGAATCTTAAGTACTTGTCATCAGCCACTTTCTGAGGAAATGAATTCCATAGTTTGAGCACATGAATATATGGGTCTTGGATTGTGCCTTAGGATCACATTCTGATTAGGGAACAAATGAAAATAAATGTCATGGTTGTTTCATAATGCCAAGTAGAAGTTCTGTGTGATTGGGGGAAGGGATAGCTCAGTGGTTTGAGCATTGGCCTACTAAAGCTAGGGTTGTGAGTTCAGTCCTTAAGGCGGCCACTTAGGGATCTGGTGCAAAAATCTGTTTGGGGATTGGTCCTGCTTTGAGCAGGGGGTTGGACTAGATGACTCCTGAGGTCCCTTCCAACCCTGATATTCTATGAATTATAAGCAATCTGCTCAGGGAGGCCCAAGCCTGGAATAGCGGGTGTGAATCAGGTTCTTTGAAAGAGCTGTGTATTTGTATACTGTAGCAGTCTTAAATAGTGCTATATTAGGGTATGTCTACACTGCAATAAAACACCCATGGTTGGCCTGTGTCAGCTGACTTGGGCTCGTGGGTCCCAGGTTGTGGGACTATAAAATTGCAGTGTCGATGCATGGGCTGGAGCTTGGGCTCTGGGACCCGATAGTGCCAAGCCCGAACATCTACACTGCAATTTTATAGTCCCACAGCCTGTTACGTCTTTTAAAGCAGCAAATTTCCCTCTGTACTGAAGAAATAAAGGAAACAAAATACAATAAAAAAAAAAGCAATCATATTTTCTGTTCTGTTATAGTTAAAATTTCTTCCAAGAAGAGTTGATCCAAATGTCAATAAACAGAAAAGATTTTTTTTTTAATTTATTTTGTTTTTTTGACTTGCTCTATTGCCAGGTAAAACTGGTGTATAGTAAGTTGAACTCCAAAGCCTTGAGCAATTTTTTTGTAAACTCAGGCACACAATTAGAGCCCGACCTTAGAGTTTGTAAAAATGAGCTTTCTACGAACTGAAATTAATAGGATATTTTTTTTAAACAAAAAGGCCTCCTGTGGTGTTTGCAACCCAAATATAATAGCATGATACTGTTCTACCTTTTAAGTGAAATGAAGTAGAAACTGATTGTAGACCACATTGAAATTGACAGTTTTCTTGTCCAAGCTCACAGAAGAGCAAAGAGTGCGAATATGGGAAACAAATAAATAATGCTTAAAATTCTTTGTTTTAATAATTTCCTGTGTTTGTAAGATAAAAAATGTGGTTTTTAAAGATCTGATTTTAAAAAGGGTTTTGTCCATTAGTTCCAGCCAACTAGTTTTATCTCTTTAAATAAAATGTTGATAAAGCATTTCTTGAACAGATGTTCTTCTGTGAATAGTGTCCCTATAGGTGCTCCAATCTGGGTGTGCTAGCTCCCCTTATGCCTCTGATCGGAGATTTCTCATAGCAGTGTCCATTTGGCCTGTGTATGTGTGCTAGTTAGGCCCGTGCCCATGTCTTCGTTATGTAGTACCGCACTGACAAACTGCCTCAGTTCTTCTCAACCACTGCGGCCTGAGACGGAGCTCTGGCAGTTATCCCCGTTGAGATTTCCTCAACTTTGTCCTCATTTCTTATTCTAGTAGTTAGTTCTTAGCATTAGTTTAGTTCAGCGGTTCTCAAACTGTGGGTCAGGACCCCAAAGTGGGTCACAACCCCCTTTGAATGGGGTTGCCAGGACTGGCTTAGACTTGCTGAAGCCTGAGCCTCACTACCCAGGGCGGAAGCCAAAGCCTGGGGCTTCAGCACTGGGTGGCAGGTTTCAGGTTGCAGGCCCCCTGCCTGGGGCTGAAGCCCTTGAGCTTCAGGGTTGGTCCCCCTGCCCGGAGCAGTGGGGCTCGGGCTTGGGCAGGCTCAGGCTTCGGTCCCCCCTCCTGGGGTCGTGAAGTAATTTTTATTGTCAGAAGGGGGTCGCGGTGCAATGAAGCTTGAGAACCCTTGGTTTAGTTATTTAGTAAGTAGTAGTAGTTTTGGCTTCCTAGTTTAAAAAAAATAAATAAAAAATTCTCTATTATATATTATATTTAGACCTTGTTCACTGGGATGTTCTACCCAGTTCTCCCAGCTTCAAATGTTGTCTGTTGTGCTGGGAGGTGAACCTGGTAAGTGATGGGCACTCCTGCTGCATCTGTTGCCTTGGGGAAACACACATCTGTCTGGCACTGAAATCCAGAGCCAGAAAAAAACAGGGAGATAAAACTTTGTCTCCTCATGACTGAGAGCTCTCTATGCCTGGCTTGTGACCTGGGCCAAGAGTTCCCACCTGTACACTGGTCTCCAAGCAAATTTTCTGCCTCCATAATATCGGAGCCCCACTCCTCCAGGGCATCTAAGAGGAAGACGCAAGACTCCTCTCAGAAGTCCTCTGAGGGCCATGCCCTGGGCTCACCAGGTAGGGAATCTACCTCTAAAAAGCCAAGATTGTCTGTCTGTCTGTCTGTCTGTCTGTCTGTCTGTCTTCAGCCACTCTGGCACCATCTGCTCTCCAATTGGGTACCCATGAGTCTGCTGGTTCCTCAGGTACCCAGAGCACTGTTAGACTGAAAGACTGCAAAGCTTTCTTTAATCATTAGTACTGTTAGCAGACCAAGATGGCAAAAAGAACTCTTCCTCAATATTGAAGAAGCCCTCTCAGGCTCCGAATACACTTCCCTTGGAGCACCCGAGACCCACGGTACTGTTAGCGCCCTCGCCTGAGGTTCACCCAGTACCAGTGGTTTCACCTCAGATCTCCAGGCGCACCATCATTCCAGAGTGAGTTTGAGGAAAAGGATGCTGATGAAGACCTTGCCTTGGTGTCTCAAATATCAACTCAGGGTTCTCTCACTCCTATAGAAGTCTCTGATTGAAACTATAACTACTCGTGGTACAAATTTGCAACCAACATCTCACTAGTATGAGCACCTGTGGGTGCCACCTCCACCTTATGCACCTCCTTGGCCATATTGAGACCTTTGGCTGGCCTATTGCCAACAATTCTCCAGGGCATTGCGCATCAGTAGGCCCTACCAAATTCATGGTCCATTTTGGTCAATTTCATGGTCCTAGGATTTTAAAAATAGCATTTTTCATGATTTCATGAATCTGAAATTTCAAAGTGTTTTAATTGTAGGGGTCCTAACCCAAAAAGGAATTGTGGGGGCTCGCAAGGTTATTGTTGGAGGGGTTGCGGTACTGCTACCCTTACTTCTGCGCTGCTGCAGATGACGGTGCTGCCTTCAGAGCTGGGCAGCTGGAGAGTGGTGGCTGCTGGCCGGAAGCCCAGCTCTGAAGAAAGAGCCACCGCCAGCAGCCGCACAGAAGTAAGGATGGCATTGTATGGCATTGCCACGCTTACTTTTCCGCTGCTGCTGGCGTCCTGCCTTCAGAGAGCCAACTGCTGCCACTCTCCAGCCACCCAGCTCTGAAGTCAGCACAGAAATAAGGTGTTGTCAGTAACTGCTGGTGTGGTGCTCTGTTCGTGTTCGATGATAACAGTCAGCTGCGTATGTGTTCCCTCTGTGTGCTGCCCCAGTTCTGCGCAGATAGCTGACACAGCAAACCCTGAGAGAACCCCCAAAGACCACAGACTCTAGTAAGGCGCGAAGGAACCCTAGTCAGGTTTATTGTCAAACGAAGCACAGTAATAGTTTCCCGTAGACTCTACAAGACCATACTATGAATTTGTGTCCCCTGGCAGTGGACCGGCTCAGTCAGTGGCAGGACTTTCCACTGCCCCCTAGGCCAGACAAAGCTGTGCACTCCGGGACCTACTTTTATACAGTTACAGGACAGATTACTCATCCCTACTGACATATTGAGGTACAGTCCCTTGGCTCATTAGGGTGCTGTCTCCCCCTTTGATCATGTTGTTTCAAACAAACAGATCTATCCATCATGCTGTCCTTTTGACCCTGTCTTTAAGATGCACCTGCCTGTTCCTTGTTATCTCTGTGGAGTGTCCTCGTATCGGGATGTCCAGGTGCCATCTTGGCACAAGTTCCTCTTATTAGTACTTGCATGTGAATGCACCTGCTTCTAACAACCCTCTTCTCGCCAACTTCTGTGAGTGGGGCCTGCCTCTGGCTCACAGCCCAGCTTTTGCTTAGCAATGCCTGGAAGTACTTTAGTTCAGGCTTCAGGCCTCAGACTGGGCCTCTGACACAAGAGTTTGTTTCAGGGCCTCATCTTACTACATAAGGGTGGCAATACCACAATCCCCCCTAAAAGAACCTTGCGACCCTCCTACAACTCCCTTTTGGGTCAGGACCCCCAATTTGAGAAACTTTGGTCTC